CACCCCCGAGACCCGAAAGGCTGAAGTTTCCCACGCATCGGAGCCCCGCCTGCATCCCCGGTCACGTCTAGGATCTCACGCACTATGGCGCTCCGGACCCGGGCCCCCGCCGCCGCCGTCGCCGCCCGGTCCCCGCTGCTGGCCTCCCAGCCAAGCGGCCCCCTGCAGCAAGCCCCTCCTCCCGCCCCGTCAGCGAGCCGAGACCGCGGACGACTTCCTCCACGAGCTCCGCCCCGTCGCTGCCCAGGGAAGCGCCTGCCACCGGATCTGAAGGACGGCCGCCTGAGCCAATCGAAACGCGAGTCTGGAAGGGGCGCGGCCACCGCGAGCGGACCACGCCCCTTCCGCGCTTCCGCTGGCCCGGAGGCGGCACCGGGAAACTTTCCCAGAGTTCCTGGGGGCTGCAGCGGCAGGGGCGGGGAGGACGCCGGGCGACTGTCGATTGGATGAGGAGGAGGCGGAGCCCAGGAGCACCGCCCCGTCCCCTAGCACCGTCCCAGACCCCCAGGACCCGGGCGGTGTCCAGCCCGGGCTCCGGGATCCGCGGCGGCCCCGGCTCGCAGTCCGCGGACGCGCGCTCGGCAGCCGCAGCGAGGGCCGCTTGGGTTCGGCCCTTAGCTCAGGCCAGGCCCCGGACCGGCGGCCTCCGGAGCCGTGGGGAGAGGGGGGGGGGTCCGGCCCCACGGGCCCGTCAAACTTCGGGGCTTCGCGGTAGAGCGGTGCGCCCCCATCCTCTGACGTTTTCGGCTCCCTGTGCAGAGGGCAGCTCCGGGACCACAGGTGCGCCCACGTACCCCTAGCAGCAGGGGCGCCTGGAGCCGGGGGCCCCGCCCCGACGCGCCGGGAGGGCGCAGCTCCCGGCCCCCGGGGCGAGGGGCGGGAAGGGGCTCTGGCGGCGGCGGCGGCAGCGGCGACCGCGCCGGGAAAAAGAGCTGGGCGGAGGGCGGGGTGTCTCGGAGGAGTGTCACGTGCAGGAAGCGGAAGCCCAGGCTCCCTTTCAGCTTTGTGCACCCTGCCTCGGACTCAGGCTCGGTGTCCCTCCCACTCGTGCCCCCGCCTGGCCCACCGGGATGGCCCCGCCGGGGGACCCGCGCCGCCTCTGCAGGCTGGTGCAGGAAGGCCGGCTGCGCGCTCTGCAGGAGGAGCTGCGGGCGGCCGGCGGCTGTCAGGGCCCGGCTGGGGACACGCTCCTCCACTGTGCCTCCCGTCACGGACGCCTGGACATCCTGGCCTATCTAGCCGAGACTTGTGGCATGGACATCGAGGCCGCCAACCGAGACTACAAGCGGCCTCTTCACGAGGCTGCCTCTATGGGCCACCGGAACTGCGTGGGCTACCTGTTGGACCGAGGGGCGGCGGTAGACTGCCTGAAGAAGGGCGACTGGTAGGTGGCGACGGTCCAGAAAAACACGCCTCCTCCCTAGTCCTGCAGAATCAGAATCGTGGCTCGTGTACCTCGTGGGTACACGAGGGGAGCTCTTCTCAGCATCCAGTTTTCACCCAACGGCAACGTCTTATCGCCCCCAACCTTCTTGCTCAATGTGGTCAGATAGGGAAAGGATTGTACCGTAGTGATGTTCTTCTAGCTAGATTCTTAGCTCACAGATTGCATTATTTTAACTGGTATTGTACAGACCATAAGAATATGATTGATACAGTGCAGGTGCAGATATAACACTATGTGGTTTTCACCTCTTGCCTTGCTGTAACAACTACTGTCAACACAGTCCAGAAACTGTACCTCACACAAATTCAACCTCATTTGTTAGATTGGATTTATTTATTTATTTAGGTGCTGGTACTGGGGTTTGAACAGGCCTACGTGCTTTCCCCTAGCTTTTTTGCCCAAGGCCAGCGCTATACCTCTTGAGCTACATCTCTAGTTCTGCCTTTCTGCTGGTTAACTGGAGATAAGAGTTTCAAGATGGGCTGGGAATGTGGCTTAGTGTAGAGTGCTTGTCTAGCATGTATGAAGCCCTGGGTTCAATTCTTCAGTATCACATAAACAGAAAAAGCCAGAAGTGGTGCTGTGGCTCAAGTGGTAGAGTGCTAGCCTTGAGTACAGAGAGGCTCAGGGACAGTGCCTAGGCCCTGAGTGTTAGCCTCAGGACTGGCAAAAAAAGAAAAGAGTTTCAAGAATTTGTCTGCATACTGGATCCTCAGATCTCAGACTCCTGAGTAGCTAGGATTGAGCTACCTCTACCTGCCTGAAATTCTTTTTTTCATTGTGTCTGGTCTTTCTGAGGCTATGATTTCTTTTTAATGGTTATTTTTGTTTCTTTTCATTTTACTTATTTTTTATGTAGTACCAGGAATCAAACCCAGGGCCTCAGTCAGGCTAGACAAGCATGCTATCACTAAGCCACATTCACTGGCCTGCTATGAACTTCTTAAGGCTTATTACATAGTGAAGCTTCTACTTCAAGTGATTCCTGATCTTATTACAATTAAAAAAAGGAAAAGAAAAAAGAAAACAGGGGCTGGGAATGTAACTTAGTGTTATAACCTTTGCCTAGTATGCATGAAGTTCTAGGTTTGATTCTCAACCTCACTCACAAAAGAAGAAAAAAGTACAGAAGAGAATGGTATAAAGTTCATCTTCCCCACTATGGGAGAAAAGTAGACCTGGTCCTAGGTGGTTCTGTCCCAGGTCACTACTCAGGTCTGGCTCTCAAGCAGTTTTGCTTCCCAGGTCCCCATCTACTTGTAGGTGACAATCATATTCCCCTTGTTATTTCTCCCAGTGTTCTTACGTCATGCAGAGAATTTACCAGTCAAAGCTCTTTTCCTTCCTTCAAGACCACTGATCCTTCTAGGTTGTCCATCTGTGCCAAGGCTATATGTGTTTCCTGAAGACTTGACCTCTCCCTTTTAATGTCTCAGCTTCCTTCCATCTGATGGCTTACACTGGTTGGCCTTAGGACTCCTCTGATGATGGCTTGCACAAGGAAGAATCTTGAGGTGATCCAGGCCCTCGTGGAACACGGTGCCAATCCACTCCTGAAGAACAAAGATGGCTGGAACAGTTTCCACATTGCCAGTCGAGAAGGCGACCCCCTTATCCTCCAGTACTTGCTCACTGTGTGCCCAGATGCCTGGAAGACAGAGAGCAAAATCAGAAGAACTCCTCTGCACACTGCAGGTACAGCCAGTAGCCTCAGGCAAACAGGACAGATGTGCAGTCACTTCACTCAGCACTGCCTACATCATCCTGTTCAAGCTGCCTGCAGGGAAATGACGGTTATGAGAAAATAGATGGTAAGGAAAAAGAATGTTTTCTATAGATCATGTAACTGGCTAGGTGCCTTTCTTTTTCTTTCTTTTTTTTGTTGGTCGTGGGGCTTGAATTCTGGGCTTGGGCGCTGTCCCTGCACTCTTCAGCTCAAGGTGAGCACTCTACCGCTTGAACCATAGCACCACTTCCGGTTTTCTAGTGGTTTATTCGAGATAAGAGTCTCACGGACTCTCCTGCCCGGGCTGGCTTTGAACCGATCCTCATCTCAGCCTCCTGAGTAGCTAGGATTACAGGCGTGAGCCACCGGTGCCCGGCTAGCTGCCTTTCTTATGTTGGTAAACTCTTCATGTGTATCCTTCTTACCTTCTATTAGTTAGATGGAAACTGGTTCTGTTCCTCTCAAAGTCTTTGACCTTCAGTAGAAAACCTAGTCTGTCTCTTTTTTTTTTTTTGCCAGTCATGGTGCCTGAACTCTGGGTCTGGGTGCTGCCCCTCAGCTCTTCAGCTCAAGGCTAGCACTCTACCACTGGAGCCACAGCGCCACTTCCGGCTTTTTCTGTTTATGTGGTGCTGAGGAATGGAACCCAGGGCCTCATGCTTGCAAGGCATGCACTCTATTGCTGAGCTACCTTCCCAGCCCCCCTAGTCTGTCTCTTGAGCAGACTCTGTCTTCATCAGCAATGATACCCATGATACATAATTACTGTAGGGATAAAGAGATCATTATGTGAGTTCCTTAACACAATCCTTGGCACATGTAGGCCCAGAATAAATAGTTACTATTGTCTTAACAGTTTTTACATTGTTACTGAAGACAAGAAGAAAAAAAGAAAATATTTCCTTCATATTCTTAGTAATACATGGTTTATGTCTAAATAAATACAAATGCTTATAGATACATTGGCCCCAGTGTCTAAATACAATTTAGGATACGGTTTTTATTTTTTAATTACTTTTAACTGTTATGCATCTGTAGATGACTTTAAATTAAGAAAAATGTAAAGTTGTTACAGTAAGAGTCTAGAACAAGAAATTTGAAATTTGGAAAGTAACCTTGCCCTACTAGGAAGTGTGTTGAATTTAGTTTCTCTAGAACTTAATGCCTGCGATGTGATATAGTCTAGGTAAAATACAGCCAGTTGTTTTCTAAACACAGTGGCACTTACGGATGGAAGAATATCTTCATAAACATTCCAAGTAAATGGAAAGACAGTTCTCTAGCTTATTAATTATTTGGTCACCTTGCCCTTCACAAACATCTGGAGATACTTCCCTGGAGATATAGCACCCTATCATTTGCCCCAAATAAATAGAAGATATCAAAACCTTTATTATTGAATATTATTTTTAGGAGAGGGACTCAATTTCTGGTTACTTTGCTAAGGATTAATACAGACAGTAAAATGTTTTTGTATTTCCTGGATGAAAGCTGACTGACCTTGGAGTTTTACAACACAAAACTGGGAAGATAAGTTTCAGACTGAAAGTTTGCCATGAAAGTGCTCATAGAGATAAAATGGAAGTGGAGCTGTGGCTCAAGTGGTACAGCGCTAGCCTTCAACAAAAGAGCTCAGAGACAGCTGAAGCCCAGACCTGCAAAAAAAAAAAGAGAGAGAGAGAGAAATAATCAAGTATTGGCCGTGCATCCCTAAAGTAAAAACATCATTACCACTAATTGAGTTGAATTTTATTTTTAGGGGACAGTAAAAGTATACCAAATTTAAATATTCCTGTAAGTCATAACTAGGAGACTGAGGCAGAAGGGAGAGAACCAGGAGGAAAGAACTTTATTTATTTTTGTGGTGCCAGGATCAAACTCAGGGCTTTATGCATGTCAGGCAAACATTCTCCCATTGAGCTACATCCCCAGCCAAGAAGCATTTTGAGTATACAGTATACCTAAACGTTCTAATTTTCAACTCTCTTCTTCCAGCAATGCATGGCTGTTTAGAAGCAGTAAAGGTACTTCTTAAGAGGTAAGAGCAAAGCAATAAATTGGGGGGAAATATTTATTAGACATTTTAACAAGAGGTTAATACTGTTTTTACTTGAAGAGGATCACAGACTGGCAGCAGTACAGACTGAACAAGCTCTGTAAGACTTACCAACATTGCAAGGAATTGCAGTATCCCAAAGGGAGCATATAACTCAGTATACCTTGGAGTCAGAATCTCAGCACCAGGAATATTAAAGGTGCCACTTGAAGGGGAGAATGAGAGTTAATGGCCAGTAGGAGACATGGGAAAGTATGGTATATCTGAGAAACAGGAAGTTCAGAATATGCTGAAGCCTGGACAATGTGGACACTGTAGACCATGTGAGAAAGTTCAGATTTTATTCTAAGCATTTAAGATAGATTTTCAGACAACAGTTTCCCAAAATTGTCAATCCTTAGGTTGCTTAAGGCAGAATGGATTGGGGGATGGGGTGAGCAGGAGGTTCCATGATCTATTTGGTGCAGTGAGAAAGACAAATATGATGGCAGGGGGCTGGGAACATGGCTTAGTGATAGAGTGCTCAACTAGTATGCACGAAGCCCTGGGTTTGATTCCTCAGTACCACATACACAGAAAAAGCTAGAAGTGATGCTGTGGCTCAAGTGGTAAAGTGCTAGCCTTGAGCAACAGAAGCTCAGGGAGAGTGCCCAGGCCCTGAGTTCAAGCCCCAGGACTGGCAAAAAAAAAAAAAAATTGATGGTAGCTGGACACAAAGATGTCTAGGGATGAAGAGGGGGATTTGGAGGTAATTTTGAAAGTGGAGCCAATGGGGCAAGATGAGTAACTTGTTAAAGGAGATGAGAAGGGCTAGAGATCCAGCTCAGTGGTAGAACAGGCCCTAGCATCTCTAGCATAGCAACAAAATAAACAGATGAAAGGAATGAGGAGTAGGGAACATCAAAGATGACTTTAGGATATGATGTCAGAGCCACTTGCTGAGAAATGGAACACTGGAAGAGCAGCGGGTGGGGGAGGAAGATGATAATTTTACTTTAGGTAATGTTGAGTGTTGTGTGCCTGTGAAATATGGGGCTCAGGCAGGCAGTTCAAGACACAGGTGGGCCCAGATATAAATGTGGGATCAGCAACAGAGATGATAATTTGAAAAGATAACCCGAGGAGACAACATAGGGTTAGAGAAGACAGTTTGAAGGGAATACTCTCAGTTCTGTAATTCTGGGTTTGGGCTTTAGGTGCCAGTATGAACCAGACTGCAGAGACAATTGTGGCGTCACCCCATTTATGGATGCAATTCAATGTGGTCATGTGGAAGTAGCCAGGCTACTCCTTGAAAAACATCAGGTATCAAAATGGTTTTGTTTTATTCCTTGATTCTTCTTACAAATTTTAGATTATAGGATAAACAGCACCCTTTATATCCTGGGTCCTAAGTATCTGTATTTCCAGCTATAAAATAAAAGAAGTTGAGTTTCTTCAGATGGCTCCTAGAAGTATTAAATAATATAATCTACTTAGAGCAGTTAGCAAATTAAGTATTCTAGAAATAGCTCCTTATAGCTAGATGGCGCATGCCTGTAATCCTAGCTACTCAGGAGGCTGAGATATGAGGATCACAGTTCAAAGCCAGCCCGGGCATGAAAGTCTTTGAGACTCATAACTCCAATAAACCACTAGAAAACCGGAAGTGGCACTGTGGCTCAAGTGGTAGAGTGCTAGCCTTGAGCTGAAGAGCGCAGGGACAGTGCCCAAGCCCAGAGCTCAAGCCCCATGACCAACAAATAAATAAGTAAATAAATAAATAAATAAATAATCAGAGCAAGTTTATTTAAAAGGGAAAAAAAAGCAAGGAAACGCAGTGAAATTGACTCTGTGGAGAGAGGCCCCAAAGATCCATGTTCTAAGACATACTAGTCCTTTGATGGCAACGGAGGCCCTGGAAGCACTTTTGGCACTGTAGCCAGGAGTACTGACTCATCCCGTTCTTTTTCCTTTCTTTTCTTTCTTTCAAATCTTTAAGTAGTTTTACAAGGAGTTACTATTCATCAAAGCAGTTTGAGTATAATACATCATGATTAGTGTCACTGGATTCATCCTTTTTTTTTTTTTTTTTTTGGTTAGAGTCCTTAGAGAATCAGACAGAAGCTCCATATCCTCTTGCCCAGAGGAAGGTACAGACAGCCAGGTGTATGGGCCCAGGTTTTTCTGCTGCTTCTGATTTTTGCTCCTCCCATCTACAAGGCTTGCTCTTCAGCCGAGGACAGCCTGGGGGCCCAGGCTCTGCACAGGGCAGCTGTCACAGGGCAGGATGAAGCCATCCGCTTCCTGGTCTCTGATCTTGGCATTGATGTAGATGTGAGAGCAACCACAACCCACCACACAGCACTTCATTATGCGGCCAAGGTTGGTATTTTCTCATGAAAACGTCCCTACCTTACTTTGACTTGTGTTATTCCATTGATGGATGGCTCTGTAATCCTGTTTTGTTTTGTCAGTTGTGGGGCTTAACTCAGGGCCTGAAGGCTGTCTCTGAGCTCTTTTGCTCAAGGCTAGTGCTCTATCACTTTGAGCCACAGCTTACTTCTGGTTTTCTGGTGGTTAATTGGAGATGAGAGTCTCATAGACTTTTCTGCCCCGGCTGGCTTTGAAGGCTGGCTTTGAACTGTCGTCCTCAGATCTCAGCCTCCTGAGTAATTAGGATTACAGGCATGAGCCACTGGCCCTCAGCTATAATCCTGGTTTTTATGGCTTCATTTCTGTGAATGGTAATTGTCCATATACTTGAAATAATCATGAATCTGAAGTCATTAATCCCTTTAAAAGGAAACTAAAAAGAAAGAAATTAAGAAATAAAGAAGTACCTTTTATGTTCTTGGGCTTTACATCACACTACTAACATTTTTGTTTTCAGGAATCATTTAAAGCCATAAATGTCTGTTGTATGAAACTCCTAGATCTCTATACTTATGCAGCATTTAGAAGTTAAGATCTCTTTAAATGGGAGATGGGAATGGCATTAATTGGTCTCTCCCTATCACATTGAAGACAAAATGTTCAACTAGAAAGGAAGCTGTTGTCAGTGCCTGCAGTCTCCCATATTACTGATCCATTACTTAGTTGTCCCATGCTTGATTTTCTAGAAGCAGCGATTATTTTTAAATCATCTACACTCTTCTGTCCTATTTTCCTCTCATGAGAAGGTAGGGAGGTGTGTAAGGATGGGCTGAGATGCCACAAGGGGAGACAGGCTGGTGTTTTCTCCAGTCTTCAGGGAAGACTGAACCTCAAGCTTTGATTTTGGTTTCACCAAAATATATATATATATAATTGCTTCATAATACTAGCTGCAGGATTCTCTTTTTTGGGGGTTAGGGGGTCTGGTCGTGGGGCCTGAACTCTGGGCCTGGGCGCTGTCCCTCAGCTCTTCAGCTCAAGGCTAGCGCTCTACAACCTGAGCCACAGCGCCACTTCCAGCTTTTTTCTTTTTTCTTATGTGGTGCTGAGGAATCGAACCCAGGGTCTCAAGTATGCAAGGCAAGCGCTCTACCACTGAGCCACCTTCCCAGCCCCTAGGATTCTCTTTTATGAGAGGTTATGTAGTCTTTGGTTATCTATATCTACCCTACAGATTTTAATTAGGTAAATATTGGTCTGGGAAATTTTGGAATTGTAGTTCTGTATAAATCACAAAATTTATACAGCTTATATTGATAGAGACTCAATTGTATTAGGTCACTAATGTGGCATATAAAGTTGATCATCAAAATCCTAGTAATGAAATGTGACCAAGATATTTAATGATGGATGCCTTATTAAGAGTGATACAAGTCATTACCCTTTAGCTATACAATTCAGGTTTTTTAGTTGACTATTTTAGAATAAGTGCCTAATATGATTAGAGTTTGTTTAAAGGTTTTTGTTATCATCACAGTAATAATGAATTTATTTCAATACTCAGGAAGGACATACAAGTACACTTGAGACTCTCCTATCCTTGGGTGCTGACATCAATGCTAAAGATGAACGAAATCGATCAGGTATTGAATGTGTGAACAACTCACCAAGTTTCATATTTGGGGCTGAGAGTATAGCCTAGTGGAGAGTGCTTACCTACCATGCACAAAACCTGGGTGCCATCTCCAGAACTCAGAAGGCTAAGGCAGGAGAATCCCAAGTTCAAGCCTACCCTGGTTACATAGCAAGACCTTGTCTCAAAAAAAGAAAAGAAGCCAGGCGCTGGTAGCTTACGCCTGTAATCCTACCTACTCAGTAGGCTGAGATCTGAAGATCACAGTTCAAAACCAGCCTGGGCAGGAAAGTCCGTGGGACTCTTTATCGCCAATAAGCCACTAGAAAACGGGAAGTGGCGCTGTGGCTCAAGTGGTAGAGTGCTTGCCTTAAGCTGAAGAGCTGAGGGACAGCGCCTAGACCCAGAGTTCAAGCCCCACAACCAACAAAAAAGAAAAGATTGGTGCTAATATTATTCTTAAGTATCTCAACAGCTTTTTCTTTCTTTCTTAGCCAGACCTGGGGCTCGAAATCAAGGCCTTGGCACAGTGCCTGAGCTTCTTTTGCTCAAGGCTAGCACTCTACCACTCTGAGCAACAGTGCCACTTACAGCTTTTTCTGTTTATGTGGTACTAAGGAACCCAGGGCTTCATGCATGCTAGACAAGCACTCTACCACTAAGCCACATTCCCAGCCCTTGACAGCTTTTTCTTAAAATAACTTTTTCTGTATTTGCCAAGTTGGAGAACTAATGCCAATACCTTGACAATGGTCATGACTATCGGCTTAATTACTACTGTTAAGTCATAAAATCATTTACTTCCCTTCTTTTTACAGTACTGGGAATTAAACTCAGGACCATGTGCTTGCTAGGTAGATGTTGTACTACTTGAGCCATACCCCTACTCTTTAGCTTTTAGTTTATCAGATAAGACCTTGAAGTAACTTGGCTGGGACTGGTCCACCTATTTCTGCCTCCTGAGCAGCTGGAACCATAAGCATGTATCCCCACATCTGACTTATTTTTGAGATAGTTTCTCACTTCACTTTGCCCTGGCTGGCTTCAAATTGCAACCTTAGGCTGTGTACTCCAGCGGTTGTGTTCTAAGCTAATGTCATTCTTGCCTCTCTCAGCCCTGCATCTAGCCTGTGCAGGTCAGCACTTGGCTTGTGCCCAGTTTCTCCTGCGGTCTGGGCTGAAGGATTCTGAAGACATAACGGGCACCCTGGCTCTGCAGCTCACACAGAATGTGGACATCCTCCAAGGCTTTGACCCCTGTGCTACGACATAAGTAGGTTTCTACACGGAGACAATAAAATGCATGGCAATTTCTACTCTGCTTCTTTTCTTCAGTCATTAACAGATTCGATGAAAACAGTCAGCAGCCAGTGTTTCCATCCCCCTCCCCTGCCACCTCACCTGCTCCTCTGTACACACCTCTCCCACTACAAACCTGAATGACGTGGAATCTGGATTCCCACTGTGTTATAGAATCCCCGAGCAGGGTCATGATCCCTCCACATCTCACTTTTTGTAACTATAAATTACAGTAGGAATAATTATTAGGAAGTGAATCTCAGGTATCCTTCCAGAAGTATGTAACATGCATAAATGTTCCATCATTTTCTCTGAATTGAAAAATATAGTTATTCATCTAAGTCAGTCTTTTAAGATTGGAATACATCAATCCTAATGATTTAATCCTTTTTTGTTCATCATAATCCAGCCAATACTTATCGCACACTCACCTGATCCTCAGCCTGTGCTGGCCTTGGAAAATAGCAAGAATTTCCAGTTTCTCTTGATTATTCCCCCATGTCAGCAGATTCCTATTCCTAACTCCCAAATAATTAGGATTAAGGTAGAAATTCAATCCTATCTCATGACCTCTCTGGGCTGATTGGAGATGTGATTTTATTTGGTTGCTTCATAGATAGCTGAACCTTTGAGTGTGGAGATGATGCGTACATGCAAGTGAGCCAAAGATCAGCCCAAAAGTACCCTCACAACAAACATAAAGCACTTTCTGTCTTTATTTTTCTCTTTTTAAGACAAGTCTATGTAACCCAGGCTGGCCTGAACTTGCATTCCTCCTGCCTCTGTTTCCCAAGTGTTAGGATGGGAGGCACTGGCCACCACAGTCAACAGTTTCTTTTCTTTTCTTTTTTTTTTTTTGGGGGGGGGATCCGGTCATGGGGCCTGAACTCTGGGCCTGGGTGCTGTCCCTCAGCTCTTCAGCACAAGGCTAGCGCTCAACCACTTGAGCCACAGTACCACTTTTTCCTTTTGCTTATGTGGTGCTGAGGAATCAAACCCAGGGCCTCAGGCATACAAGGATAGCGCTCTACCACTGAACCACCTTCCCAGCTCTTTCTTTCTTTTTATTTTTTGGCCAGTTCTGGGGCTTGAACTCAAGGCCTGAGCACTGTCCCTGACCTTCTTTATGCTCAAGGCTAGCACTCTACCACTTAGCCACAGTGCCTCTTCTGGCTTTTTCTATTTATGTGGTACTGAGGAATTGAACCCAGGGCTTTATGCATGCTAGACAAGCACTCTACCACTAAGCCACATTCCTAGCCCCACAACAGTTTATTTGCAGTCCCTTGTGTGCACAAAAGTTCTTGTGTGTCCCTTTGCTCTGCCCTTACAAACTAGCCAATGACTGTGTCACACTTGTTTCCTGGTAATTCCAGATCCTGGAATGTGACATAAACCTTAGCTTCTGGAGGCCATTGCTGAAATGACTCAACAGCCAGAGGCAGCATGGTTATAATGACAGCATTAATTGTAGCAAAGAAAGTGCTGATAATGTGTAATAATATACTTCTGTAATAATATATTGGAGTGCTGTGCACACTGATGATAATTACTATTATTCCTTCACTTTTCTAATTACAGTTACTTTCCTTTCTTTGGCTGCTGAAGCTCTCATATTCTTGTCCCAGACCATAACTGCAGCAGTCCCTTAATGACTCCTCCTGCTTCTAGACCTGTCCTCAAGTCCCTGCATGCAGCAGTCCAGAACTCTGGCCAGTTTAACCAAGGGATTGCCTATGGTGGCTCACTGTACCTGCCCTCCTCAAGAGTGGACCACACTTTCATTAGGACTTCTGGCCCTCAGCTGTTCCTAAAAGCACACCCTGACCACGTGAACACATTAGTAATTAAGCTTAATCAGGGCATAAGTTGCCAGAAAGAGATACAAATAGGTAAGCACTGCAAAAACTTGAAGGTAGCTAGAATGTGATATAGGGAAAAGATTTATGAGATATGAAGAGAAACCAGAGTATTAGAATGTGATACATTAAAACTACCCACATAAAATTATATGTAAAAAATACTTATAGAGCTAAATGGAAAAGGGATTGCAGAACAGAAATGAAAAAAACTTCAGGTTAACAGGAGTTCAGGTTTGGAGAAAAGGGATGAGAAGCCACTGAATTTCTCTGTCTAGGGTATTGCTAGGATTTACCAGCAGGTGGCAGACCAGAAAAGGCCTGTTTGTTCTCCCAGACTTGTTTTAGGAGGCTATGGTGAAACATAGAAGATACAGGAAGTATTAGAGGAGAAAACAAACTGGACCCTGGTGGAGTCCCTCGAAATGCATAAAATGCATACGGTTAAGATGAAGCTCAAGCAAATTCAACGTTTTTACAAACTTTGTGAACTTTACTTTTAAATCACTGCTACATGCTTCTTCATATAACCGTTTATGTTCTTTTGTGTAGATGTTGGAGTGTGGTTTTCTCGTCTTTGTGGTTATGGTGATCAAACTCAGGATTTCATACATGCCAGGCAAGTACTCTACCACTGAGCTATAGCCCCAGTTCCCACCTTAAAAAAAAAAAAAAAAGACAACATAGCTTTGTTTCTTAAGGATGTAAAGCTTTGTCAAATTTGGCTGCAAGCCAGGGCAAAGGGATAGGGACTGAACAATGGGTCTTGGGTTTGATCACTAGCAGGCCAGAGGCTAAGTGAATGCTTGAGAGGCCACTGAGGCCATGGAAGTGCTTGAGCTCACTAGTACTCCTCCTTTTGAGTGTTCAAATGATACCAAAAGGAAAGAATTTGGGCCTAGAATACATGTCAGTAATGGAATACTTGCCTAGCATGTTCAAGACCCTGGGTTCTGGGGTTCTGTCCCTACCATGAGAGAGCTAGGTAGGGAGGTGGGTAGATGGATAGACAGACAGGACATAGAACAGTAATCTGTTTCAGAGGGGTAAGTACATGATGTTTATAGATGGGAGGAAATAAAAGTGACAAGAGAGGTTCACGATGTAGTCAGAATCTTCAGCAGGTCAGGGGAAAGAGGAGTCAGGAGGCCTTGGGATATGGCTCAGAGGCATGGGGAGGGGGCAGTGAACAGAATGCACATCCATACATGACTGAAGGTCAGTGTGGGAGTAGTTAGTGACATGCATATTGCATTTTCTATAATGCTGAGTAGTAATATGAACTTGTATTTGATAGTCTGTATGCTTGTATAACCAGCAACATGAAAAAGGGGTCAAAGTTAAATTAGAAAGAGTGGTAGAGTTTTGTTGAGATAACAAAACTAGTAAGCTAAAGTGTGGCCTGTGGCATTAGCTAGGGCAGTGAGGATTTGCTGGGTATTTGTGACTAAGCCCAACAGAGAGAATGTGCAGAATCTTGTCTCCTCAGCCATCCCCGAGAAAAGTGATTGACTTAATAAGGAGGACAGGCTGGGCATTCCTTAGAAAAGCACTGCATGATTATACCTGTTAGTACCCTACTTCTGCCACTGTGCGTTTTCAGGCCTCAGCACATCAGCCTAGCTGTCTCTACAGGCATCTAACCCAGCAGGATACTTTCCAAGAGCTGCAACCACTTTCCCTCCAGTTCTATAAATCTCAGAATATCCTCAAGGACAGGGTAACACAGAAGCATTTGAAACACAAGTTTCACATGCATGATAGTTCACTCTCATATGGAGTTGGTACTGTCTCTAAGATCTTCCAAGTAAGGAAAGGCCAGCATAGCTTTGCCAATATGAGCTCTGGATTCAAACCCTAGCCTTTTCACTTAATAATCATGTAGCTTTGGGAAATGTAGCCCACTGTCTCCAAGCCTCATCTAATTCACCTCAGAAATGAAAATATGTTGGGTGACAGTGGTTCACACCTGTAGTCCTAGCTATTCAGGAGGCTGAGATCTGAGGATTGTGGTTCAAAGCCAGCCCGGGCAAGAAAGTCTGAGACTCTTACCTCCAGTTAATCACAGAAAAAGCCGGAAGTGGCACTGTAGCTGAAGTGGTAAAGCGCTAGCCTTGAGCAAAAGGAACCCAGGGACAGTGCCCAGACTCAGAGTTCTAGACCACAACCAGCTTAAAAAATAAAAGAAAGGAAGGAAGGAAAGAGAAAGAGAGAGAGAAGAAAGAAAGAGAAGGAAAGAGTGAGTCACCTAAAGCAAGGTTCCTGCCACAGGGGATTACATGTTCACTCAAGTCCATGAGAGCCTACTGTGTGCCAGGCACACAGACACCAATGAAATAAGTAGTGTATCAAGTGGTCATAAGTGCTAGGAGGAACATAAAATGGAGAAGGGGACAGGAAGCACCAAGGAGTGGATTTGCCAGAGACATCTCAGCAGAGAATGTGTAAGCTCCAAGAGAACATTCCAGACAGAGCTAACAGTGGCTGCCCAAGCTCTGGGGAAGCTGTGTCTGCCATGCTGAGGAGAAAGAAGGAAGCCAGCCAGTGTGGCAGAAATGAGTAAGCAGGGAGAGGGTGGCAGATGAGGTCAGAGCCAGATGACACAGGCCCTTATGGGACATTAGGAGGTTTGAAGATTAAATCTGACCTGATTTTTAGCAGCATTATTCTGAGTATTGAACAGAACCAAAGAAACTAGTTAGGAGGCCACTGAGAGATGGGGCAGCAGTATGGACCAAGATGAAGGGGCGGAGGGTCAGGATTCTGAGATGGTTTCAAAGTAGAACCAACAGAATTTACTAAGGAGTTGGACATGGGGTGAATGGATAGCAAGATCAAACATCTGAGCCTGTGCAAATGGGAGCAGTATTGCCTCCTTTGGGAGGTGGGTGTAAGAAAGGTTGGGAGTCTAGACTGGATGCTGGTCCAGTATGGACTTTCCAGGAGACGTCCAGGAGTTGTCCTGGAGGCAGCAGGAGAGGAGAGGTTGGCAGGAGGTGCCATGCTTGTGCGGATAGATGGTGTGAGGTGGCTGAGATCACCCAAGAGAAAGAGAAGAGAAGCAGCTCTGCAATTGAGTCCTGGCTACTGCAGCATAGATCTCAAGGATCAGAAAGAATCAGACAAGGAGGTAGTAGGAAGTGGGTGTGATCTG